ATTGGTGAATGCCACAAATTCTCCTAAATCACTCGTACGCACAACTTAAGAACAAATCTGTGCGTACGAACGGTTCTTGCATGAGGCCCAGTATTATCACTCTGCTTTCACCTTCAGTGATGAGCAGTAATAATGCATCAGGAAACAACAGGGATCATTCGGTGATGTTCAGCATTTCATCCTGAAAGTTCCTCAGTTGAGTCAAAGACTCATAAACTAAAAACCTGTTCCTGCTGTGGAAACACAAGTCAGGAAGTTTCAAAATAACATTTTTAACAGAAACTCCTGCTTTTATTGATTTTTTTTCCACCCACATTTTTCTACTTTCATATGCATGTGAACAGATGTTAAAAGATTTGCTTCCTTCCAGCAGATGAGTGAGCAGGACAGCAGCAGCAGCAGCAGCTCTTCCTCCCAGACGGCGGGAGACATTGAGACAGAGCTGAATGAGGAGTTGGAGAGCGAAGAGGGAAATGGCAAGAAGGAAAAAGGCAGCGCCACCCCCAGCCTGCCAGGCTTTGCCTCTCTTCGTGCCGTCATACGCATCAAACAGAAGTACCAGGCCATGAAGAAGAGGCGGCAGGAGATGGCCTTCGGACCGGGGAGCACCGGGGGCATCCCAGGAGCACCAGGACGCACAAGTCCCAAAATCTTCACTTTTGACTGTGTCACCCCCAACACCTTCCCTGCTTTTTCCTCCATCCCTCAGAAGAAAAGGAAGAAGATGAGAAAAAAACGTGTGTTGTTTCCCAATGACGTGGGGCGCAAAATAGTGCCAAAGCAGGAGCGCAGTCGAGCCACATACTGCCTCTACCTGCTGTTTGTCATCGTCTTTGTCCAGGTAAACCCATTTCTGTTTGAAGGGATTGTTAGAAAATACATCAAAAATTACTTATTATTACTTATTATTCATGAAATAAATGTATATAAAAACAAACTGCAAGGATTATCAACATCGTAAACCTATATTTGATTACAATTAAACATGTTAAGCGTATCAAATATCTAATTGAGAGATTGCACCATTTAAAAAATAATCAGATTGTAATGGCAGCAACACGTTTCAAACCGTTGTTCCAGGGTCATATTTGCCACTGTGAAGCATCTCCTCTTCTTAAAAACAGTCTGTAATCGTCTAAGAGACAAGGAGACCAGTTGCTGGAGGTTTGCGAGGGGCTTGTTGTCCCATTTCTGTTTGGTGTAAAGTTGTTCAACAGTCCTGCCTCATTTTGTTGGATCTTTGTTTTGATGACGTGTCACTTTTTTAAAGTTGGTCCGATGTTTGGACTGCAGACAGGTCAGTTCAGCACCCCGACTCTTCTACTACAAAAGCATGTTGTGATGGAAACATTATGTGGTTAGCATCATCTTGCATGTCCTTCCCTGAAAAGAGGTCTGGGTGGAAGCATATTTTGTTCTAAAACCTATATAAATTATGGAATATATATGTGACCCATCATATCAAAATGAGGATTAAGTCAAATTTGGTCAAAATGACCTAATTACATTTTCAGATTCTTGGCTTTAAAAGCTACATTTTGATACCTGGATCATCCTGATATCAGTAAATCCATATATATGACTTAATTTGTCTTGTTGGTTACAATAATACATAAATATTTGGTCTGAATCCTAATTTTATGTAATTTTAATGAGGAATTTTTGATGTTCTTATAAAAAAGGAAACCTCAAATTATATTTGAATAATGAGATTTCTCTGCTGAAAAGAAGCAAAACATTTCTAGCTCTTATGGAAAATCTGAAAAATTTAAGGCGTTTTTCCTCAAAATCAGGCTTTTTGTTGCTACTGCTCAAATAAGTGCTTCATAATTTTGTTTTATGATTACATTTCAGAAAATTCATTCAAATGATTCATTGATAAGGAATTTATTCATTATGTTTTGACAAAATGCAATTTTTGCAAACGTTTTAATCAAAACACTATATTTGCCTATTTCTCCTTGTACCACTTTTGGACTTAATCCTCGTTTCGATGTGATGGGTCACATATTTTTTTCTGAAATTATGGTGCCTTTCCAAATGTGCAAGCTGCCTATGCCATGGACACTAAAGCACCGCCATTACATTGACAAGCTTTTGGACTTGGTGCTGATGACAGGCTGGATGGTCTGGTTTTTCTTAATTACAGTTATGAACTGTATTTACAGACGATCATTTATGAAAGTGCTCCTCTGCCCATGCAATGAGATATAGAACAGAATCAGACCTGATTTTAATGCAATGTTACCTGATGTCCCAAAGTATCCATCCATTATTGACTCTCAGCCTTGCCCTTTATAACCCCAGTAACAGTAAAAAATAACAATAAGAAAGACGAAGCACTAAGGTTTATTAAACAAAGATGAAAAGAATTATAGACTTGATGTTATCTGTCTAGTTAAAATAAGACCTGGATGTTAAAACCTTTTTATAGAATGAAAATATGTTTTTCCCAAAGGAAATATTTTTCTTTTATTTGTTCATTGACAAGATACCCAGATTAAATCCTATAAGTTCTTCAAGTTCTTGAAATTTAGAAAGACGATGTTAAGATCTGAGCCAGATTATTTTTATTAGTAACTGTAATGGAAATATTCCACTAAGGCAGAAACACGTGAATGAAACAAAGTGAAACTGTGTGGTTTGGTCGTCAAATGATTTAATAAGGATGCATATGCAGAGTGGCCACCATGACACAGATGAATCAACAGCTCAGAGTCGTCACCACTGGCTGCTACAGACAGGAAATGCATATACAGTATATAACTTCCGGGCGTGGATCTATAAGCAGCAAATAAGAGCGTGCCAAATACCAAAGAGATATTGAATATTAACCAATGAAAATAATACAAGTCACAAATGCAATATGAAAATGAGAACAAGGTTGCAGACATCAGATGGCGTCTTTAAGAATCATGAGAACAGATTACACAAATGTGGCAGTAATCAAAGACAGACACAGAACAGGACATGTCAAGGTAATGTGAACTCAGCAGTTATGCAGGATTATATAATATTTCCACCACAGTAACTTTCGTCTTTCTGCAAGTCAGAAGAATCTTATCAAAGTTTGCCTCGGCTGTTTAAACCAGGTTTTTCTGCGAGCCATTTGTGTAATGCCTTAATTACTCAGCTCACCTACAGACAAAATTAAATAAACATTTAAAATAAACTCCAGAAAAATAAATCATAAAAGATTTTTGTAAATAAACACAGTTAATTACCAGAATAAAATAATAAAAGTATTATGTGTGGATTATTGAACATCAGATCTCTTTTTTCCTCTACGTCTCTGTTAGTTAATGATCTGATAACTGATCATCATATTGATTTATTCTGTCTTACTGAAACCTGGTTACAACAGGAGGATTTATTTAGTATAAATGAATCCACTCATGCTTATTATTTAAATGTTCATGCTCCTAGAACAGCAGGTTGAGGTTTAGTAGATGTTTATCAGAGAACACTGTAGCCGAATTTAAAGAATCTCTATTTATTTTCCTGTCTTACAGAGCAGTAACTTAGATATTAGAACTTTAATTCAAAACTATCTTGATGAAATTGCTCCTCTGAAAAACAAATAAATAGATCAGAGGAGGCCGACTCCTTGGTTTAATACACAGTGACGTTCTTTAAAACAGACTGCTTTCTGAGTAGTCTCTTCAAAGTTGAGTACATCTACTTCTACGTCTTAGTTGCTTTGACTCATATACAGCGGGTAAAATAAGTATTGAACACGTCACCATTTTTCTCAGTAAATATATTACTAGAGGTGCTAATGACATGAAATTTTCACCAGATGTTGGTAATGAAGTTATTTGTAATAATGTGGAAT